GCTTCCTCTAGGGATATTCTGAGAAGCTGTGTGACCTATGGCCTAGCCTGAGGAAACCATAGTATTCCTTTGGTCAAAGCACTCCCTCCCTCATTCAAGAGGAGGAAGCCAGGACTTCATGGCTGGAATGGATGTGTATTTAAAGCTCCATGCCCCGGCCCCACTTTTCAATCATTTCTGCCTCTGTTGCAACATTGGAAACTGGAGATATCAGAGTCACAGAAAGTGTCGTAAGTGACCCCTTTCACACCTACAGAAGCTAGGAAAAATGGGAGGGGACCACTCTCTTCTGACACTAAGATTGTGTTTTTAGGAGAGCTGTCTGGGTCTGGGAAGAACTCAGGGTGGACCTTCCAAAGGGAGTCCCTCAGATAAAAAGCAATCAATGTGGATTCATGTCCTCTGTAACTCAATGGAGCTTGGTAAGGTGGGGATCCCTTATTCTACCAATCTGAAACAGGGGCTCACAGTGTTGATCTGGGTGGCTTTGAATTTGCTTTGTATCCTAAGTTGGACTGAGTTCAAGATCCTCTTACCTCCATCTCCAAGTATAGGGATCACAGATGTATGCGGCTACACCCAGCTTTACTCTTGTGTCATATGCTGAGTGACGTCTGCCCCTGGAACCTCTGGACACATGTGTAATTAATGGTGGCATGAAATCCTTGATCAGTGGCCAAGGACTTTGACCCACACAGGTGGAAAAACCGTGCTTCACTGATGATTTCAACTGGCCTGCTCTACTACAAGAGGTGGGTGGGGCTAGATTCCTGGGAGCCGTCACTCGGGCAGAGGCTGGCCTCTACCCCATGATGAGCTTCCATTGATACGCCCAGTGTGCTCAGTGTGCTGTCCAAGTCCCTATTAGGTTGGCTGAGATTTGGGTGTCGTAGGAAATACCCAGAAATATGTCCTACTGCTTTCCCTGCATACTAGTTGCTAGACTTTCTCCAGAGACCACACTTGGCTTACACACATGTCAACTATACAGCTGGGCAGTGAGGAGTTCTGGGCTGGCCTCTGACAGATTGTGTCCCTGGGAGTCAAATGAGCAGAACAGGGGCCTCTCACGGGTGAAATCCTCAAAAGCCAGCTCAGTACTGAAAGTGTAGAACTGCAGCCCAGGAGGTGTCAAAGCCATCTATCGCCCTGTCACTCATAAGACACAAAGCCAGCTCCAGAATTAACGAGAAGTGACATTTCTCCCAAGGCGCTGCCACTGCAGTTCAAGTGGTCTCCTCATCTGAGTGGCTGCTGATTGGTTTCCAGTGCCATTTCCAGCCTTGCTCTGTTGCTGCCATCCCCTGACACTTTTGTCACTGCCAGTCTTTCTGGCTGCGCTCCCAGACTGTGAGTCCTTTGTTCCCTGAAGGTCAATCAGTACAAATGGAGCATCCCACTGTGGCCTCGGAGAAATAGCCCTCATACAGCCACAGAAATGCAGTTCTTACTTCCAGTCTAAACATAGAATTGTGTGTGTGTGTGTCTGTCTGTCTGTCTGTCTGTCTGTCTGTCTGTCTCCCTCAACTCCCTCCCCTCTCTGTTTTCTTTCTTTCCCTTCTTCTTTCTACATGTGTGCATGGAGGTACATTTGTGTGGAAGTTAAAGGACACCACCTCTGGTCCTGAGTGTTGTTCCTCCTTTATTTTTTTGAGACAGGATCTCTCACTGGCCTGGAATTCACCAAGTAGGCTAAGCTGGCTGCTGGTCATTGAGCCCAGCGTTCCACCTGTATCTATCTCCTCAGTGATGATTTTTTAGTAACTTATTTTTATTTTATGTACATTGGTACTTTGTCTGTTGTATGTCTGTGTGAGGTATCAGAAACCTTGGAACTGGAGTTACAGACAAGTGTGAGCTGCCATGTGAGTACTGGGGAACTGAACCCAGGTTCTCTGCAAGAGTAGCCACTGCTCTTAACTGCTTAATCATCTCTCCAGCCCAGGGCAACGTTATTACAAGTACACACTCCCATGCCCAGCATCTTTTTAAAATATCAATGATTTGGAAGATGGTACTAAGGACTCCGGTCCTGGTGCTTGTCTGGCACACCCTTCACAGCCTGACTGCTCTCCAGCTCCCAGCTAGTTCCTGACAGAGTTCCAGCACAATGCTCCATATTCATCTCAGCTCCAGAGTCTCCAAAGAATCAGGTCCTGCACCCATTTTGCCACGGGGCCTGATGTCAACCCCCTGTGGTGTGGCCTGCTGTGCTCTGAGCCTAGTTCATCACTGTTCAATTTACAGTGGTTTACATGCATCTTTCCTCAAATCCTGTCCTGTCTGTCTTGATTGAAGAGCTGCCCTTGTTCTGGTATTCTGTCTCCCTGCAAGGCAAGGAACCTACCTTCGTGAGTTTTTCTTTCTTGGTGGTGGCTTGCAGCAGTATAAGAACTATTGCCTTTTTTCTATTTTGTAAGAAGAGCTGTGGTCCTAACAGGTACCCCAGTAAGTACTAATGTCTTTTTTTCCTATTTTGTAAGAAGGAATGTGGTCTAGGGTACCCCAAATCATCTCTTATAACCAACCTTAAGAGAGAAAAAAAAACACTGCTGGCTCTCTAAATAACTGATTTATTAGGCCCAACCCAGTAAATAATCTAGATGTGGGTATCCAATCTCCTTCCCCTGGCCACAAATTCCTCCTCATTTTTTGCCAGCTGTGGTACCCTATGAACCAACCTCTCTTAGCTTAATGGAACTGCTATAGAGTCTGGGTATGCATAGTCTTCCTTAACATCTATTGCAAGTGACTGATGTCCTGTCAAAGAGAGAGAAGATTCAGAGTGACGGATGGCCACTGGGATGGAGGGCGTTTGCATCAATGATAATTAGCTTTGCCAACCTGGCACAGTCTAGAATCTAGAGTTTTGATGAGGGATTGTCTGGATCTGTGGATGAGTCTTTGGGATTGTCTAGATAATGCTCATTGGTATGGAAAGAGCCAGTCTACTGTGGGTGGCATCATTGCCTGGGTTTGGGTCATAGACTCTACGAGAGAAGAAAAAGTGAGTGGAGTGGTAAGCAGGCACACACGAATTCACTTCTCTCTGCTCTTGAGTGTGGATGTGATGTGACTGCTTCGAGTTCTGCCATCTTGGCTTCCTCACAGGATGGACCATAGTCTGTGATTGTAAGTAAAAATAAACCCTTGAAAGCTGGCCGGCTGGGACGGGGCGGGGCCGGTGAACTTCTGTGCCTCCTCATCCTGGAACTCTGCGGGACACCGGCTGGGCAGCTGGCACCATGAAGATTTGGACATCCGAGCACATCTTGGACCACCCATGGGAAATGGTTACCACGGCTGCAATGCAGAAATACCCAAACCCCATGAATCCAAGCATGGTTGGTGTTGACATGTTGGATAGACACGCTGATCCCTCTGGAAAGCTGCACAGCCACAGGCTCCTCAGCTCAGAGTGGGGCCTACCTTCCATTGTGAAGTCGCTTACTGCTGCAGCAAGAACGAAAACATACGTGCAGAAGCATTCTGTAGTTGGCCCAATAATAATAAAAAAAAACACCATGGAGCTCAAGTCCTCCAGCATCTCATTTACAAATATGGTCTCTGTCGACAAGAGGCTCACGTACAAGCCGCACCCCCAGCACCCAGAGAAAACTGTTCTGACCCAGGAAGCCATCATCACTGTGAAAGGGGTCAGCCTCAGCAGCTACCTTGAAGAACTCATGGCAAGCACCATATCCTCCAATGCTAACAAAGGCCAAGAAGCAATGGAATGGGAGATTCATAAACTGAACGCTGAGATTGAAGAATTGACAGCACCAGCCAGAGGAAGCATAAGGACCCCAATGGCGACTGCAGCAGCGTTGGTGGAAAAATGAAAATTGGTGTGCAGCTGCAGGGCCCCAAGACTCTTCAAGCTAACATCATATTTATTTGTTATTTAAAAGAATATAGCTACTTTACGTAGATTTTATTATTTTTTTAATCAGCTCGGGAAAGGCTGTGACTTTTGATCAAAACAAAAGATGGAGAGGGTCTGAGTCAAAGTGATCATCAGAGGTGGAAGGGCTTGAGGGGCTGGCTGGAGTCTTGTGTTCACATGGACAGTTCACAGGCTTGTTTGTTGTTGTTTAGGTGCTTAGAAGAAATTGATGTTGGTCTCAAGTCTCCTTAGGTATAGAATCTTATCCTTTCAGGTACTGAAACCCTGCATGGCTGTGGACCAAACAGCACAAAGGCCAGCTGCCCTCGAGTCCACATAGTTGCCCAACCTAGAACCTCCTGTGTGACCGTGTATAATTTCAAAATACATTAATTTGTATAAAATAACTTGCCCTGTTGGAAACCAGTGTTTGGATTTGGTATTCAAATGATATTTTTGGAGTGAAAATTCGCACTAAGGTTAATATATGACTCCAGCAAAAATAGTATTTTATTGTATTAATGGGTACTGTATTGATTTGTCAAAGTTTTGTGACTTAGTAAAGACATTCCCTTCCTCAAAAAAAAAAACCCTTTCTCCCCTAAACTCTTCTTTTCAAATATTTTAACATTATAGTTGTTATTTATCCTCTGTGAATATGTATGTGGGCACAGACATGCAGAGCCATGCATGTAGAGCTCACAGAACATGTTGGTTCTTCATCCCACTGTGTGGGTTACAGAGATTGAACTCAGGCCATCAAGTCCAGGGGCAAGTGCCTTTACCTGTTGGACCATCTCATGATCCACCCCATGGTGGATGGTCCACCCCATGCCACCAATGTCACTCTTGCCACCCATGCCAACCATGCCACCCACACCACTCTTGCCACCCACGCCAACCATACCACCCACACCACTCTTGCCACCCATGCCAACCATGCCACCCATGCCACCCCAAAGCCATTTTGTCAGGGTATCCTCCCACTTCAACAGGAAAGGAAACTAAACAGCATCCTAACCCTTACTCTCACACTTCAGGGGTCAGCCAGGTAGCCATTGTGTTTCTGGAGAATTCTCAGAGGATAGGCCAAAAGTAATATTGTCACCTTGGGCATTATGGGTTCAGGAACCCAGCTGTAATTAACGCAGCAGACACCCCTTGCTTCTGGCTGTTTAAAAAGAGGCCTGGGACCCAAAACAGGCCTAGTAGTCTAAAGGTAGGATTTAACTGGGGGCTCTGGGAGCTGAGAGCCTTGTGGCAGTTCTCCGCCCCCTCTGGGTCGTCCTGGAGAGCAGATAGTGCTCACATTAGCAGAGGAGACTCTGGCAGCAGAGAGGAGGCAGGAAAATGAAGTAGAGCCCTTCACTGAACGCTGTCTACCCACCACTGGACGTCTCACTTGTGACTTGATAAATACCACCCTGTGGCTGGAATAACCTCATTGGGTTGCCAGCTGTGACTCTGAAGTCCTAGTCATAATCTCAGCCACTCATGTGACAGCCTCGGGGACAGCTGAGGGAATCCCTCACCATCTCTGCAGAGTGCCCTGTTGGGGTACAGAGCAGCATCTACACAGGAGAGTTGGTAGAGTTAGAAGAGCAGCCTATGGCTAACTCAGGGAGAGGCATACCAGGTGTGAGCTCAGGAAACATCTTCCTGTGTTCTTTCCACAGTGGGACCCCTCGTCTAGGTCCATGCTGGCCATAAAGTTACCTCAGGGTGCATTTACCTGGCACATACGGGCTCTGTGGCCACCTAAGGACTCTCTAAGGCCTCAGGGGCTGCTCCCTAAAATGGGAGACTCAGGACAGAATGTGTTTTACCTAGATTGACAGGTGGCACAAGGTGTCTATGCAAGATGGTCCTCAAGCAAGATGAGAACCAGGATTAAGCCAGTAGGACTATGCTTGGTGATCTTTGGTAAGCCTCGCTACCTCCCTGGGCAGGAGTTTCCTCCATTATCCTCAAGGAAGCTGGGTGCCCCGAATCCAGTCATCAGAGAGTCTGGGAAGTAGAGATGACTCCAATTTCTCCACTTTATTCAGCATCTGTAGGCATTGTCCCAGAACCCAAGGGAGATCAGGGCACGGCCAGGAATCACCTTTATTCCTTGCTTGCCCACCCAGATACCCCAAAATAGTTCTGTAAACAGCATAAATGCTTGCCTGCAAAGACACAGCCTCTGCCTATGAAGATGCAGCTCATCTCTCTCAGGAAATACAGTTCACAGCTCTGACTTGCTGGGTAACAAGGTGCTGCCTGTTGAGTTTCTAAGACTTAAGCTCACTGAAGAGCTTTGTCTAACAGTCCAAAGAGCAACCTATGAGGTGACAAGGTAGGTGTGTGCATTGGGGACGGGGACAAAAATAAATGTCTTTCCAAAATAGAGCCAAGCCCCACTCAGGAACTATGGGAAAGGCAGATCTCAGATAGGTGGGGTTAAGGAAAAAGGAAGCGGTCAGGCACACAAGGGGAAATACAAGGGTGTGCAAGATGCAGGCATGGAAGAAGTCACAGGGCCCTTCCAGCAGGCAGCAAGGACTCAGCAGTGGAGCCATAGACTGGGAAAGCCAGCATGAGAAAACACCAGCACCTGCCCTGCTGAGGGTGTGTGGAGGGAGTCTCCCACACAGGACATGGTTGTGAAGGGCACTGTCAAGGCAGAGGCCACGATGGCACCTGGGATGTGATGCTATCACCACTGTCCTTCTGAGAACTTCAAGAGGAGGACGGTTTCTTTTCCGACCTGGTTATGGCTTTCTTAGTACTTCCAACTCTACACATAGTTGTGGCTCTGGCCAGTTGAGGGGTCCCTGGGTAGGTCTGAAGCTGGGAGCTGTACCAAGAGAATATGCTCACCTCCGGTTTTGTGGTTCTTAAATCTTGAGAAACCTAACAGTTGGCTGCCTTGGGTAAGAACTGTGTTGGAGATCTGAAGGGTGCGGAAGCCAGTGCGCCAGCACTCCCAACCCCAGATGAGAGCAGAACAAAACACATGAGCCCTGCTGATTCCTGTATGAATAACAGTGCTAAGCCAAGTCCATGGCCTGAGACAGCATCTTTCCAGAAGAGATAAGGCATTACAGCCAGCTGCTTAGCCAGATGAGGGAGGGGAGTCCCAGGGCGGACATGTAGAAGATTTCTGGTTCTTTTAATTAAGACAGGATGCAGTGGTCCAAAATTCTTCCAGTCAAACGGAGTCAAAAACACATCTTAGCAGCAGGAGTGTATTCTTGTTTCATCACATGAAGGTCGGTAGACCCTGGCCAAGGAGAGGGTAAGGCCAGCTTGATGTGCAAGGCAGAGATACAGCCACCAGTTACATGGGCTGCAGCCCACCTGCTCCTCGAGCCCCTCACGTGAAGTAACGACAGGGTGTGGAGTCGATGTAGCAGTACTGGGTGCACCGAAGGTCTCCGTATGATCTGAGGGAGGCAAGCATACCAATCAGGGCAGAGACAGCAACAGAGGGCAGAGCAGGCTGGGAAAAGCACACTCTAAAAAAGCGACTGGTGATGCATTAAACTACCATACCCCTCACTGAGAGCTCAGACCTAGGAAAACTTTTCTGCCTCATTTGGGGTGTGGAGCCCAGTGAGGCTGAGTTGGTCTCGAGAGATTTCTACTTTGAGATCTAGTAAAGGGACTATGGTGGGAGGGACTGTTAGCCCAGATGTTAATCCATCATCTATGTGACAGTTAGCTCCCTTCTAATGTCTAATCTGTGACATCACTTAGTTCCAATATAAATGTCCTCTATTTGTGCCCAAGGGGCAACACTGGCCTGGTAAAACTGCTAAGCTCTTAAGATTTGGCTACTGTGACTGAAGATCTGAATTAAAAATTCTAATGATTTTAGAATTGAGTCGCTACATGGAATAGGGGCTGCCGTGTTGGAAAGTGTATCCCACACATCTGCAAATGTAAATGACAATCCCCAGTGTCTTATCCGCATGCATTCTCAACCCTATCTTGGAAACTTCAAGAGATCAGAGGAGCGACTCTGGTGAGCTAGTAAATAAGGCCCAGGCTCCCTTCAGCCATTAACTCTGAGTCAGATGCGGACACCATGTGACTCTATGGAGCTGGCAAGCAGCTCAATCAGGCCAAATCCAGTACGTGGCTGTTAGGAGCCTTCCCTAGCTCAGGCATGGGGCAGTGCTCACATATGTAGTGAGACCGAGGCCGAGCCTACCCAGAGTTGGAGTCTGGGGGTGGATGGAGCTGTGCATATGTTAGTGTGTGTTGGAGGATGAGTGTTGAGAAGACCCCCGAGAGTATGGGATGGAGGTAACTGTGGGACAGGTGATGTCTATTTCCCAAGCTGCAGAAGATCTGCTGGAAGGTAAGTGATGGGTGTCAAAGCTGAGGACATCGTTCTCAGGAGAGACTGACTCGGTGATCTAAAAGGCCAGCAGATGAATGGCCCCCTAGAGCACCATACAGCTGAGTCGATGAAGGTCAGGGGAGCACAGGACAATTTAGCATTATTCTATACTGGAAGGTCGCATTCTGGACAGGGGACTGGGGGCTATAGGAAGCTTGAAGATACCACTGTGGAAGCAAGGACACTAACACATTTGAATACCCACTGAGCATTCTCCAAGGTAGCGAGACAGGTCCTTGAAGGGGATATTTTCTTGGAGGGACTACAGACTTGCAAGGTTAGATATTTTTCCATTTATATTTTAAAAATTATGTACATGTCTGTTTGTGTGTATGTCTCTGCTCCCCCCCCGTGTGTGTGTGTGTGTGTGTGTGTGTGTGTGTGTGTGAATGATGGGGTTAGGAGTGTGTCATGGTGTATATGTGGGGGTCAGAGCATATATTTGAGGAGTCAGTTCTCTCCTTCCACCTGTCCACAGGTTCTGGGGATGAAACTCAGGTCACCAGGCCAGCATGGTAAGGGCACCATCTTTCTGGCCCTCCTTTTCCTTTCTTGTGGGACTGGGA